CAAATACGTAGTCCATTGATGGTCTATTGGTGATCCATTGGGTCCAATAGTGTAACATTTTAACTATATTTAGTATTCTATTAATGGCAATGGACCAGTCCAAAGTCCATCAGTTCTCAATAGACAGTCAATTTGCCAACCCTGTATGAAACTGTCATATCTATTTTATTAGCCAAAACCAACGCTGTCTGTCTATGTGTAATCTGCCTTGAAAAACATTATTAGAAATCATGCTCACTTTATAAAATTTTCCTTTAAGGTTCAAATCATGGTTGCTTGCCAAAACTCCTCCAGAAATCAATCAGCAGAGTTTCGGCAAATTACATACTAATTTTTTATTAGATTTTCAGCAGAATTTCGAATTTAGGGTTTTTGGCAATTGGCAGAGTTTCGGTAAAGTTTCGGCAGTCACCAAGAAGTTTCGCCAAGCAAACTTATTTCAGATACAGACCTATCTCTTTCTCTAAATCTGATTTTTGACAATGGGTCTCCTCACCTTCCTATATGATTCTCCAAGTCCTGATGTTAGTATTAATATAAAATGGAAAATAATCTCGGAGCTTAAATTTTTTGACCGAAGGTTTCAGCTCACAATTTCTATATTAACATATATACATACGTTACACGCAATTTGATGTGTGGTGCGAATTCATTCACAAAAATTTTAAGGTTCTCGCTTTTTTTTTTTAATATTTAAAATAATCTTTAAAGTAAAACGTAACGCCATTTTGAATAGCCGTAGCTTTACGTAGAGAGCCCCTTTCGTTACGAAAAACATTTATTAGAAAGCTTTGGATGGTTTGTTTTTTTACTTTGTAAAGTTCGAGTTTATTATGAAAATAATGAAAGTTCAAAAATTTCACTCATTATTACTTATTAGGTAATTGATGTCACACGACTGATTTGCTGATGTACACACGTGGGAGTGTAACGTGCTTTAAAATGAGAAATTTATTTTTATGTTTAAAGTAACTTCTCATTCTTTTTTTTATTTTAAAAAAATTTTATTGATAAATAAAAATGTCTGTTGATGATTTATCAACTGTGGAAGAATGGATCAACACAAAAGATGGTGTTCCATTATACACTAAAACATGGAAGGTACAAAGAAAATGTTTACTATCTTTAATATATTTGTTTTAAATAATGCAGTATATTTTATTAATAATTTCTTCTTAATTTTAATTTTCCTAAAAAAAAAACTTAAGTCAGTGAGTGAATCGCCAGTAGCAACTGTGGTATTTTTGCATGGTTTTGGTGAACATATAAATCGATATAATCATGTATTTGAAAAGTTTCAATTAAAGAACATCGAAGTTTATGCATTTGATCAACGTGGTTTTGGTAATACTGCTGTAAAAAATAAAAATCCTGGTATTAGTGGTGGTTGGAAAGTTTCTATGGTTGATATAACAGAAGCTTTGATTAGAAAAAGAAGAAAAGGCACACCACAATTCTTATTTGGTCATAGTATGGTAAGTTAAAATCAAAAAAGAAAAAAAAAATTTAGTCTTGTTTAAATAATTAATATTTTTTTTTTTGCTTTTTTCTCTCTTTCTCACTCTTTCCCTCTTTATTTTTACATGTGAGTTGAGTAGGGGGGTGCTCTAGCGTTAAATTATGCTTGTGAAGGATCAGAAAAAAATAATTTAGCCGGTGTAATTTCATCTTCACCTTTGGTAAGTCAAGCTGTCGAAACAAAATCCTCACCATCAGTTGTGACAATTGGTAGTGCTCTTAGTAGAATTTTACCAGGTTTGACCATACCTGTCGATTTGAATTCAAACTATCTTAGTAGAGATCCTGAAGTAGTGGAAAGTTATTCAAATGACCCTTTAGTTCATGGCATGGGGTCTTTACTTACTCGTAAGTAAACGATAGCAATGATGCTACTACTATTATTATTATCATTATTATTATTAACAGCAGTAATCGCTAGTAATAATTATTTAATTCTAACCAAAAATTATATTGTATTTTCAATTATTCGAATCAATAAAAACAGTTAATGATATGTTAAAAGGTGGAAAATATATTTTAAAAAATAATTATAAGAATTTAACAATCCCAATTTATATTTCTCATGGGTCTGGTGATCTAATTACTTGTCCTAATACTTCAAAACAGTTGTATGAAAAGATTCCAGCAACTGACAAAACTTTCCGTGAATGGCCCGGATGTTATCATGAACGTGTGTATTCTCATTTTAATAAAATTATTCAATTTTTTACTTTAAGAAACTACTCCTTAAAATTTCCTAATTTTCAAATTAAATAGCACACAATGAACCTGAAAAAGATCAAGTGATTGAAGGTTGGATTCAATGGATTCTTGATCATGCCAAGAATGGTCACACCGAAGACAGTCAAACAACTCAAACTATTCAAAGTACTATGAACGTTGGTTTAGCTTCAGCATAAAATAATCATAATCATAATTATAGTCATAATCATAGTCATAATCATAACCATTGTTATTATTGTATATTATTATGTTATTTTTTTTATTTGCGTGTTTAGAATATATTTTGATTTAATTTGATAATTTTTAAAACATCACTTTTTTAAAGATGAAAATGAATTTCTCTTGAGATAATAAATACCATCATGCCATCAATAAAATTGCCAACACTTCAATTAAAATTAAATATTCTTCAAATAACAAACATGCCAATCCGGTGTTGATTGGTCGACCACCAGCCAATTGATGACATTCTTAGATGATGATGACTTCTTTTCTATTTTAATACTATGAAAAGATATATGATAATAATAATAACAGTAATAGTAGTGGTGGTCATTGTTGGTATTAAAGATGATTATAAAATTCCATTAACAGCAGGTTCGCTAATGTACTATCACCGTCCCAACATCTTTCCTTTCTTTTTCTTCATGTTCAACAATTTTTTCGGCAAATTTATTTTTGGAATCATAGTGATAATAGTATATATATAAATGGGCACACAGACAAAATGAACTTATTATTATTATTGTTATTATTACATCACAAAGAAATTTCACGATTCAAAGTATTAGAAATTTGTCAACGCCACAACCTTTGTAGTAGTTTTTGTCTCTGTGTTTTATTTCCATCGCTTCTTGCTTAATCGTTCAATAATAATAAGATAATTAACCCAAAAATATAAGTTAGGCTGTTCTATTTTGTTGCCTAGTACCTTATTTTATTAGCTATTCTCTTCGTCTATGCTTTCTTGTAGATGATAAAAAAATTTCTTTTCTAAAGGCACAAGATGCATTACAACTCTAAAATGTGATTCGCTCATTTTCCCTCGAAAGAAAAGTAAATTATCTCAAACGGTCGAGTATTCTTTATGGTAACACAAATTAAAGTTTTGATCATTCTTATTGGTCAATTTAACGATCAGAAAAACCACTAGGACAACAACTGGATTTTTATTTATAGATTAATCGGCTGAATCTCAAAGATCATTTTCGTATTAGGAAGTGATGCCCTCAGAAAAAATTTTTTATGTCAGAAAAATTTTATCGGCTATCAATAGCCGATTAACCGTTTAGGGAATAATATTTATATTTATTTATTACCAAATTCTTCGTTACTAATATTATTCGTTCAACACCAACATTATTCCATTTCCAACAACTTTCAAATCTCTTCGTGCGTTTGTTTCCCTTCATATCAAATTACAGGCTGCAAACATTCATCCCAATCACAGACAATTTTCTTTTTTTCTGAGAAATTACCTTGATGAAACAATGGAGACAAATAATGTTGTTATTTATCATATACTATTTTGTATTCTTGAGTTTGTAAAGGATCATAATTAAAATTGCATAATCCAAGTTAAGATCATTCAAAAATGAAAACTTTAAGGAACCAAATTTGAAAAAAAAATGTCCTAACAAGTAAAGATGAGAAATTTTGGAAAGTTTGGAAATAATCCCTTAATGAATTAACACTTCTTTCCGTGTAGTACAAGAGTCACACCCAAGTAGTGATGATGATGAAAAGGTTCTAGTGGCTAAGTCTCTACTTGGGTCCCAATTGTACACATTTATAAATTGTAGAGTTCCTTAAAAACCATTTCTGAAAATAAAAAATGAACAATACAATATTAAATCTAATCTAACAAACATGTTAAATTTGTCTGTCCAATTCCCTCTTCGTAACCTATATTAAGTTTAGAGTGTCAGGTTAGTTGTACAACTAGGAAGGGATATACTCGAAATGGTGCTATCTTCCCCTCGGCTATGCAAGCTTACTCCCCTCGAGTATTAATAATGAATATATTGCCAATTCTTTTTTTAATTTCTAAAAGATAATTCTTTCTATGTTCTTTTATTGTCATTTTTCTTGGCACATTTCATAAGTACTTTTCTCTTTCCTTAGATAACCTTCAAGCATCTGGGTATTATTTATTTTGAAACACAAGAATCAATTTTCTCGCCTTATTGTAGATCTTGTGTATATTTTTATATTTTTATTGCACACTTACTCAATTTGTATAAAATACAAATGTGGCAAATTTCATTCTTTGGATTAATTTGACAATATTTCCAAATTTGGTTAGTACACTTAGATTACGCTTACTATATATTTATATAGAGACAATTCGTCTGGTTTTTTTAAAAAAAAATTAAAACATTCGAAAAAATGAAATGGAAACGAGTATCAACTCAACTTAAAATAATAATATTTTCTCTTGTAGTAATATCCATCATAACATGGAACATACCACACACCTCCTTTAAACTTGAATTAATAGGTTTGTAAAAACTTATTGAAAAAAAAAGCATTAATGAAATAAACATTTTGTTTATTATTCAATTGTTATTTTTACATATATAGGTCGATTAGTGACAAAAGAGCGAATTAGTCATGTCGTTGCGTTTAATTACGGTCGTAACCAAACATTACATAACCACAAAAAATATCCCTTTACAATAGTAACGGCAGCGAGTTCAAATCATTTTTGTGAAGTGCAAAGTTGGCTTTACTATATGAAAGGGATACTTAAATCGATGCCGGCATCTAAACGACCCAGGATTTTGGTTTACGACATTGGATTAGCGAATTATCAGAAAAAATGGTCAAAAGTCTTACTTGAGAAGGGATATTTGAATGAGCTCAGGGAACTTGATTTCGAAAACTGTCCGGGATTTTGGAAAATAAATAACGAAACCAGAGGAGAATATGGATGGAAGCCTGGTGTAATATCTGACGTTATTAAAGATTATCCTGGGCCAATATTTTGGCTTGACTCGGGAACTTATGTAACGGAGAAATTTTTGAGACAATTTAATGTCGTTCTGGATTATTACGATGGTTTCTTTTCGCCTCTATCAGGTGGTAACATGTTAAAATGGACACATCCAGGCGTTTTCAAGTATTTTAATGATGTTCCAGAAAAATACTCGGGTTTTCCAAATTGTAATGGAGCAGCGATAGCATTCGATTCGAACAGAGTAGGAAATTTAATAAACAGTTGGATAGAATGTGCTCAAGTAAAAGAATGTTTTGCGCCAGAAGGCAGTAGTAGAAAAAACCATCGACAAGATCAAGCAATATTAACATATTTGGTGGCAAGACAAAAACGACCCTGTGTAAACAGGCCAGAAGTTTTTGGATTGAAGACTCACATGGATAGTGGATGTGTGAAGAATGTTTACTTTCATGAAAAATTAAATAACATTACCTGGTCTCCAACTAAAGAAGATTTGAAAGAGATGGAGATGTTAAAAGAGATGTTCATTAAGCATCACATCTATGATATTTGGAGCCCTGGAGCCGAAAAACAAACACTGGATATAATTAATGCCAATGAAACGTTCAATCATTTTTTTCATGATTATTAAAAAAAAATGGGTTTTTTGTTTTATTGAAAAAATATACATGTACATTAATAAAAATGCATTAACACAATTGTTTATACATTCCAACATAAATCAAAAGATCCTAATTTCATGATATTATAACATAACAAATTATTAATGGCCAGTCTTTCTCTTCTTTCTTGCTTATTTTTCCTTTTTTTTTCTTCTTTATTTCTCATAACTATTCCGGTCAATATGAAAGAACTAATTTCTCAATATAATGTTATTGGACCTTTCCTATGCGTAGAAATTGGCACCGCCTAAAAGTTCTTGATAATATATTCTTTTTAAAATGATTATTCAAGTTTGATATGTAGTTTCGGGAAAATTCTATTGTGTGTGACCGCTAAATTAAATGACAAATCCGTTTTTTATAATTATGCTAGCCTTTAAAATGGAAGTGTTATATTATTATAAATTAAATGTTTCATCATCAAAAAACCTACAATATAAACCTTTGTCAGAATGTCTTTTATATTTGCAACTTGATGCCAAGTGAAAATAATTTGGTCGCATTTGGAAATAACTTTTTTAGCATTGACAAATTCTTGAAAGTAGTAAAATGTTGTTTACTATTTCTACTATTACTGTTTTGACTTTTCTTTCTTTGGTATGAACTAGATAATAAATAAATAGGTAAAATTTTTTTATTAATAATGCGAATTATTAACGAATCAGTGTAACTGAGGACATTTTTTTCTTCGAATTATTATTATTATATAAAGGCTGTGTGACCTTTCCATTTTCTGTCAATGCGGTACTTTCGAATCATAGTGTTGGCAACAATGTTCGGATTCGATCGGCGCGGGATATAAAGATCAAATTTATATTCTGACTGATAATAGTAATAAATTTATTAATGTTGAACTTTTGAAAAGTTGGCTCAACCCACAAACCTTGTTTTAAAATAATTACAGCAAATAAAGTAAACATTAGATATATTGGATTTCTATTGTTAGAGATTCAATGAAAATATTTTATTTTATTTATCGTTTTTGTAAAGTGTGTTTAACGTTAATGCATAGTGTTTATTTTTTTGAACTATCTATTGTTGTTATTATTATTATCATCTCGCCTGATATATAAATTAATTAAATTAAATATTCCACCCGCATGTATTTTAAAAATAGAATATTTTCAGGTAAAAACCAAAGTAGTGATAATAATAGAAATAATTAATGACATAATTAACTTATATTTATCATATTTATTATAAATCAAACCACCATCGCCACTGTTGTTACTAAAGGGAGAGTCATTGGTTTGTATTGCCTTTGTGGTGGCGGTTGGGGGAGCTGAAGAAGAAGTTGGTGTAGTTTCATCGATGGTGGTATAAATAGGTGGATCATATTTTGGCATTACTGGTGGTGGTGTACCAAGTTTAAAGGAGAATGTTCCAGCAAATTTTAACTCATCATCATTTGGATTGATTACAGCTAGACAAAGTATAGCGTTAAAAGGAAACGGTGGGTTTGCTTCTTTTGCACATCCCGATACTGGATCACCGTCAAAACATGACAATTCCTGAATGTATCCTGCTGGGGTTCTTGTTGGATCTAATAATTGTTGTATTCCCGTAAAGTTTGCTGCAAAGGTTAAAAGTCCTTTTGTCTTGTATTGTTTTGGATGGTTTCCTTCTTGTGGTGGAAATCCAAATCCTGGAGTTGCTCCAGAGGAAGTAGATATCCATATTACATTATAACCTGGGAATTTTTTGATTTATTAAATAATAAAGTAAATAATATATAAAGAGTTATTCCAATACTTACTTATATAATTCGTTTCTAGTGAACTACAAATATACCAAGTCCATTTCGGTGGCACTATCATAATACCAGTACTTGTATCTTTTGTTTGAGCATCAATAGGTAATATAAACCACTTAATATTATCGTTAAAAAGAATATTATTAGATATTTATTTGATTACATGTACAAGTATATATTTATTTCTTACTTCCAATGTTATTAATATAATGAAAATCAGTAGGATTATTTGAAATTTATTTGAAATCATCCTTTTCATTATAACTGAATAAATAAATTAAAAATAAATTTTTGAAAAATAAATTTTTTTTGAAATTAAATTTTTCAACTCATTTTCTATTTATGATTACGTTATTATTCTCTTAGTGTGTTCAGTTAAAATTCAGGGCGCAGTGTTTCTAAATTGACTATTATTAGTACAAATTCAGAAAACAATAAAAGAATAAAAGGGTCGTCATAGTTGGCGTTCGGACAACGATTTTTTCTGCGGTTTGCAAAATTCAAAATCGTGTGACACAAAATACCGTCTTTTACCCCATATATGTTAAATAGGGGAATTTATCTATCCTGTAAAAGAGGGCAAAATTTCAAATTTGTAATCACGGCTGAGGAAGAAAGAAAGAGGCTCAAGATCTTTGGATCAAATCTTGTTTGTTTGTTTACTTTTCGTTTGGTTAAAAAGACTTTATTATATTAAAATAAATGCAGATAGATAACAATATATAAATATTATATGAGTATTATTATAGATTTATAAATGAATAAAAAAAACAATAAATAAAATTGTCTAATATTAATTATGGCTTGGGAATTCTGCCTCTTAGATATTCCATAACAGCAGACGTTCCTTGTTGTACAATTGTATATCTTGGAACTCTAAATGAATTACCTTCAACTATAAGTGTTTTAATAGTAATCAGATTTCCCAATTCAGGTGGCAAAAATCCTATATTATTATTAGAAATATCCACTACCTCCATATTTTCAAATGTTGAAGGTGAGATAGATCCAAGTTGATTTGATGTGGCCAAGAATGTTGTCAATTGGGGAAATGGCAATTTCTTTGGTAATTCAGTTATACGATTTTTATTCACATTAAATATTTTTAAATTGGGAAATGCTGTGTGTTGACTGTCATCTGGTAATGATGTCAATTGATTTGCTGACAAGTCTAATGTTTCAAGATTAGGTAACTCCAAAGTTTTATCTTCAAATATAGGGAATGTTGTGAATTTATTATTATCAAGATGAAGGTGTTTTAGGTTCATTTTAAATAATTTAAAAAATCCAATAGGAATACTTGTAAATGAGTTGAAACTTAAGATTACTGTTGAAGGTTCAAAACCTAAATCCTCAAGGTCTGATTCTGGTAATTCATTTAGATTCTTTTTGGCTAAATCTAAACTTTTTGAACTAATTTGTTGTTGAGGTATTGTTCCTAAAATACTTGAGGATGAACTCTTGGATGTGTTTGATCTATTCTCAGGAATTGTTGGTCCTTCCATTGTTTGAAGATCTATACATTTATATGCATATATTTAATTATTTAATTATTCTTCAAAATAAAAACAAATAATAAAATAAAAATCCATTACCAAATGTAGAAAGTTTGGCTCTTAATGATTTTAATAAAGCTGCTGTGGATTTTTGACCTTTTGGGATATTTCTGAGAGGATTACCATCCCATAATAAAACGTCTAATGAAATTAAGGTTCCTAATTCTGGTGCCAAAATTCTAAGTTGATTGTTTCGTATATCTAATCTTTTTAAATTTTTTAATGATAGTAATCCTTCGGGAATATCATTAAATTTATTATTAGCAATATCTAATATTTCGAGTTCAATTGTACTATGAAGTAATAGTCCAAGAGAGTCCATTTGATTAAATGATAAAAGTAATTCCTTAAGTTTTGGCAATTTTATTGATGGATTAAATATTGTGGAATCTTTTGATTCATGTACTATAGACTTTAATTTATTTTGTCTCGCATCTAATCTTATTAAAGATGGTAGTGTTATAGTTTGATTTTCATTTAACCCCAAGAATATAATTTCCAATTGATTTTCACTTGCTTCGATCTCTTCCAATTGATTCATCCCAAAAAATGTCTCACTTGGAATCTCTTTTATTTTATTTTTTGTTATATTTAATTTTCTTAGATTTTTTAAATTTGAAAATTCTTTTGGTAATCCAGTAATCTCATTTGATGAAATATCTAATATTTCTAATTTCTTTAAGTTTCCAAATGATTTATCCAATGTTCCTGTCAATTGATTGGATGAAAGCATCAATTCAACTAATGATGATAGTTCATATATACAGTTTGGTAATTCTGTAAACTTGTTAGTTGATAGATTAAGAGTTGCTAAACTTTTTAATTCGCTTAATTCTTCAGGAAGTGTTGACAGATTATTATTATGTAACTTTGATTTTATGATATTATAATGTTATGATATTATATTAATTAAATATACAACTTTTTAATAAAATACTCACATTTATAAAATTGTATATATATATATATATATATATATATATATTTACTTACATCAAGAAATACCAATGCATCAAATTCTATTATTCTTTTATCAATCTTTTCTAATTGATTGTCAGCAACAATTAACTTTAAAAGATTAACAGTTTCATACCAAACATCTGAACCACTGCTACTAAAGTCTAATGTAATAGATTTAGGATCCACTTCATACATTTTCCATACTTCTTCTGGAATTTCTTTCAGTGAACAATGAGAAATATTTAATCGTCCTTTTCATATACATAAATAAATAAAAAAAATGATTAATTAATTGATTAAAATTATTTATTTGTTTGTAACTATCATATAACTATTATCATTACCAGAAGATTTTGCTTGTTTTACTACAACGCCTAGACTTTTAGGACCAAGCTCATGTTCAACAGCTTGTTCAGCTTTAACATTTGCTTTACGTAATCTAGCTTGTGCGATATGTTCTTTAATAGAAGAGGCGGAAGAAGAAGGTACAGAAGCTTTCGCTCTTGAAGTACTAGCGGTGGTAGTAGTAGAAGTTCTTGATGAGGGTGAGGGCGATCTTGACGGACGTGAATTTTTGGTTGTTGGCGATAAAAGTGTAGACGATTTGGTAGTCGTTGTTGTTTTTGACGGTGAACTTGTAGAGCGTGAATTTTTGGTTGTTGTGGCAATATTAGTTGTGCTTGATGATGTTGAGGTCTTTTGTGTAGAAGTGGTACGCGTGTTAGTAGTTGGTTTTGTTGTTGATGATGACGATGCTGTAGTTGTACGTCTCATATTTTTTTTTTTTTAGAAAAAAAGTAGAGTAAAAATTTTAATGATTTTCTATAATAAAAAATTGAGCATTTATTATTTAAAATTTTTTTGTACAACATAACCTGGGAAACTTTGATTGGGTATAAATTATACTAAAAAGGGTAGTAAGGTTTTTTTTTTAGTGCGACCGAGGTAGATGTTGTTGCATTGTTTTAATTTAATTTACACACAAAAGTATTCTGAACGAATAAAAATACTATTCGTATTTCAAAGTTATTAAGTATGGTATACTTGATAATTATATAAACAAGTTTACATTGAGATTTTCATTTGTGCTTCCGAATTCTGCAGAAGGTGTCACTCGAAAACTCGATTAATAGTGCTGTGCCAAGTGCCAAATTTTCAAATTGATGATATTCTTTGGTGTCACAATATTATAAAAACACACGACTCGGTCACTTATATGCTAATATATTCAGCCAATCGTATTATTATTATGGGTTTCCCCAACACCGCTATACCGACCGACAGGATATATTTCTGGCATAGCTATGTTAAAGCATTGTAATTTTTGGTTTTTCTTATCCGGTGATTTTTTGATGAGTGTGCATAATAATAATGATAATAATTATAACAATTAGACATCTGAGGACCATACATGTGAAATTCTATCATTTTAATTATCTATTTATTAAATTCAAAATTAATTCGTGTATGGCTATGGAAGGAAAGTAAAAAATAAAATTACGCGGATCGATTTCAAACAAAATTTTTTTACTCCATTCACTCAGGAATTATTAAGAAATAAAATACCTTATGAATTTTGGAAGGATATTATTACATGGCAAATAACAAATTTCTTCGTGTTAGTAGTTAATTAGACACATGTGAAATTCTGTCATTTCAAAGTAAACAGGTTTTCACTTATAAAAAATCAACCTATATAAACGAACTACGCTCCCTCCTCTCCCTCCTCTCCCCTCCCCTCCCCTCCTCTCTTCTCTTCTCTTCTCTTCTCTGGAAGTTTAACCTTTTGCGTGCGACTCTAATATGCCAGAAGAAAAACTGCAGATTTTAAAAAAATTACGAGTTTTGGCAAGAATCTTTTATTCGTGTTATTTTTATGGAAGATAGGAAAAAAATTACACCGCCTGAAATCATATAAAATTACAACTAATGATCTTGGAGTTCCAGTTTAAGAAGAGGTTCCAAATGATAATAGTGATGATGATAAAGAAGCAATAACATCAATGTTCAGTAAGAATGATCATAATGATAATAGTAATCCTGGTCCTGTTTACTAAACCAGCAGTTAAAATATCACAACAACTTTACAAACCGTATAAACCATCAGTTGAAAGATCAGCAAGGCTATAATGTTACGAACTGTATAAACCAATATTACACAAACAAGTCATTCTTTTCGTTGATCCATGAGCTAGCAACCAACCTTGTCCCGCAATCACATGATTTTTAACACTAATCGGAGATTGCCAATATACTATCAATTGCTATTAACTCTCTCACAAGTGTACATTGAAAATAATCGTATATGAAATCAAAAAAATAGTAACAGAAAATTTGCATCTTTGATCACTGGATAAAATCGTGATTCGTAAAATCATATTAATCATTTTCTACATTTTCAGTTAAATCATGGATAAATTTTTTATTTACACATTAATATGTCACAGTTAAGCATATTTATATATAAGAAGGTAATTAATTGATTTATTTTTTGATTGAATCCTATATGTATGAATTTGTGAATTCATATATATGTGTGTATAATATTATATTTTTTTAAATTAGCTGTTGAGACATATTTAATTGAGTTGTTTCAGGATGCGTAAGTTGATTTAATAATTTTCAATCTGTAAAAAGATAACGATTCTATTTATTCTATTAACAATATTACCATTAATTGACGATCCAGAGAATTGTAAAAAATCGTCAGTTTTGGTATTACAAACTTTATTATGTATAAAGTAAATCTCATAGATTATTGTATCAAAATATTAAAGGGCTTGGAATGTTTCTTGAAAACTTTTATACGTAGGAAGCTGAGATTTCAAGAAGTTCATAACATATAAAAATTTGGAATTTTTTAATTTTCAAGTATTCTGACTAGAGCTATGCATTTTTATTTTACCAAATGAACCACATGATGTTATAAGTCAAGTCAAATAAAATAACTGATACAACAATAATCTCACGTCCAAATTTGGTAATGATTTTCTTTTAATGTAATATGTTAAATTTTTTTGTTGTAAATAACTTTTATTTATTAATAAAAAAAATAAATAAATAAATCAAATAAATCAAATAAACCTAATGTATGTTGTAGAAAATATTCTATGAAAAAAAAGTTGTTGCACGAAATTTACTTAGTCAGCCAATTTTCAGTTTAAGAAAGCTTGAGTCATGAACAATAAAATTTATCGGTTAAATTTTTTAAAATGAGATAAATTTTTACATCGAAGAGACATCTCCTATTTCAAGTCAAGATGCTTTATTGGCTATTGAAAAGGTAAACTTGTTTTATTATGTAAATGCTTGAAGATCTGACTGGTGTTTTAACGAGATCACTACCCACTTTTCTCAATACCAGTTCAATTATAATTGTCCGAGGTCCTTATGAGCTTATATCAGAGCACTCCCCTTACTAATCACGTTGGTAAAAAGAGCCATGGAATTCCGGTGTCAAAAGATTCTTCTCTTTAAAAGAACCATTTATTATTTGGAGACATTAACTTTACCAATCATGTGTTCAACATGATTCCAGGGCCCATTATTTTTTGAAAAAGATCAACAGAAATCTGTTACACGACGATATCAATTCACAAACACTTGAAATATGTCAAAAGCAACGACAGCTCCTGATCTCTCTTCGCCTTCAAATAACCCTTCCGCAACAATAACAATAGAAGCTAGTGAATTATTAAATCAAGAAAAACCAAATAACGACGATTTGTATGATGAATTTTTTTTTTATTTAAATAAATTGATAGATAACGCGTCTGTATCATAATAATTTTTTTCACTCGAATAAATAAAAACAATAATAATAATTAGGAATGATATTGTAAAAGTACTAGAAAATAACGTTGCAAGTATGCAAAATACTTTTGGCGCAGTTTATTCGGTAAGTGATCATATCTTTTCAAGAATGTATTATTATTATTATTATAATTATTATGTATTTATTTATTATCATGCCTAAATTAAAAATGAGGCGAATAGTCATTAGCATCAAGTTTAAGTAAATCTTTTGAGGTGATAAAAACAATGAATTCTGCAATGGAACAATTTCTTTTGTCAAATCTTCAGATTTGTAAGTACATTATTAGTAGTAATAATAATAATATATAGACTTAATATAATTAATCATTACCAATCATTACAATAATTATATTATTTATATTATTATTTATATTATTATTATAAAAAGTTCAACATTTAGAATATAACGAAAAAAATTATTCTGGTTTATTATTGATCACTATTTCTAATAAAAGTCCAATCCCCATCTCAAATATATGTTGTGAATTGATTTTTGAGACAATAAATGAACAGATAATAATAGACCCTGATTTAGAACATGTGGAAGCATTGGTTCAAGATTTGAAAGACAGGAGTTCAACGTAATGATCTTTTTTTATTAATGAAAGATGATTTATTTAATAATCAAACAATTAATAATTTTCAATTAATAAAGAAGTCGAGTCACTTATTCAATATTCAATAAATCAAAATTGGATGCTGGTTTATCATCATCGTCTTCACCTAAAAATTTTACACTATCTCCTTTAACAGAAATTGTAGAAAAATTGAGAATAATGGAATCTAACATAATCAAGGTACATATTTTATATTTATTTGCAAAATTTATAACTATAAATTATAATCTATTTACTAATAACAATAATAATTGAATTGGAAAGGGTAATAACATTTATGCAAGGGTAATTATTAGATTTCCAAGTCCTGGTACTAATAAAGAACTATGTAAAGAACATAGATTTTTGATTGAATGGGCCAATCATGAAAACAATATCATTTGATTACTGATACTACTATTGTTATCATCAATTGATTATAAAATGAGATTAATTATAATATGCATTAAAAATAAATAATTAAAATAAAAATGCAAATATAATCTATTTAATATGCATAAAAGTAATCAATCAGAGTTTTGTATCCAAACATTTCACACTCCAATTAATCCTTTATTTTAGGAAAAAGTAAAAAGTAAAAAATATTTTGTTGGCTATCCTCCATTTTTTAATAAGTATTCTTAAAAAAGGTGGATATCTAAAAATTTAATTCTATCTTTTTCAATGTTAAATTAGAATATTTTTTTGTAAATAATAAATAATCCTTTGAATTTCCTTCTGGAACATAAATAATTAAAACCCTTTGAATTTAATTATGCCATGCACCGCAAGGAACAATTTAATTTCACAATAGTTCATTGCCCGTAATTTCATTAATATTTATTTTTTAAACTACAACCTCATCAAAAAACTTTTTCTGAATTACCTGAATTATTTAAACATTTTAATATTACTATTACACTTTCTTCCTAAATAACCAGATTCTTTTTTATTTCATCATAATCAATTATTTCTTCCTCTTGCTCGTGCAGCAGTGTAAATGCACGGCCTTGAGTCAATTTGGTTATATCTCTAAATTGCTCAAAAGGTTACCATTCTGAAATATATAGCTTGGCAAAGATGATTTCATTTTGATATTGTTGAATAAAATCATTAACCGTATGTCACTTTCAAATGTCCAAGTAGTGAAATATTAATATTAACCGGTTAAACGGTTAAATGGTTAACGATGTGCCAATCTTTAATATACTTTTCGGAAATTTAATCAAAGAATGATCTTCAAATTTCACATGATACCAATAAAATGTCATTATTTATTATATTTTTTGTTGCCCAGTATATGTTTTTACCCACATCACATGAAAAAAAAATTCAAGCATAAAAAACCCCCTTTAATTCTTCTTATGAACACTCGTGAACTTTTTCCAATTGAAGAAGACGATGATTTCTTAGACAAGTATGTTGTTATATTAGCTGTTTTTTGATGATCTAAAATATATTACTTATAGGACACGTGTGCAGTTTCACCGAACACCCACGATTTCGATCACCGTAACATTTTTTCCATTTGAAGATAAAAAAAAAGCAAAGACGAGCCTGTCAATTTTTGCTTTGATTCACAGAAAAGAGGTGTAAGTTGTTACTGTTGATGTTAATAATATTCCTAAGCAAAAGCAAATGATCGAGAAGGAAATTTGAGTTCTGATGATGATGATAAAGACAAGGCAAAAAAAGGCAAAAGAAAAAAACAGTACTAAAGAAAATTAACAAAACATTAATCCAAGAATATTTCTTTTATTATTATATTTGCCAAAATTAGAACAATAACAATAATGTCCATAGTAACAATCAATATATTCAAATCTGATCTGCTCTATAATGATGGTTTTGTTATTATATATTATCGCCTATAGAATCAAACGGTTTTTTTTGCTATATTCAGAAGTTCATAATTTCCCACACCGTTTAAAAAAATTTTTTTTTGTGTAGAAACTAAAACTATAAAAGAGAAATGTGGATATTAATTATTGGTATCGATTCATGCTAACAAACAAACAAACCAAAATTCATAAATTCATTGAATATCATTGATGCAGTAATATCCGGATTTTTGAAAGATAATGGCAATATACGTAATCATATTTTATAACTGGTTAGCAGGAAGATACACACTAGCACTAATAAGTGGATGGTGATGATCTTCGTGAGAAATTTGAGCATGTGATGTTGTCAACAATAAAAAAATTATTATTATTATTTGAACTCATGACCGAAATAAAAAATCACTTAACTCAATAAATAATAAATAAAATAATTATGTGATTGATTGACGGAATAATAAATAATAATAACAACGTTTCTTATTACTATGTTTTCTTTCGAATCATATTTTTAATTATTGTCCATGAGACCATCAGTCGTTTCGTTAATGACATATGATATCATGACAATATTATTGAATGATGGAATTATTAATTGTTATCTCCGTGATCAAAAAAAAACAAATAAAAATGTCAAATAGCTGCTAGTCTAAACCTTTCACGAAGGAAGGAAGATCTTTTCTTATTTCTCTCATCGAAAAGGGTCGCGTGAGGTGAATTAATGTCTTTTTTAAAAAAAAAATAGATTAATTTAGATAATGTGCAGCATTATTGGTGCATTATTATTATGAAATTGAGAGGTCGCGTGAGTAGAGTACAGAAAAAAAATTTTTTTGAATTATTAATTAATTAATTAAAAAATTTTTTTTTAATCAAGTCAAGTCTAAATAGAGAAAAGAAGAGAGAAATGTCAATTGTTCAGAGTATTAATTATTATTGTTATGCAGACTTTGTGTTAAAAGAACTAATTCTTATAACGCAATTATATTATTATGGTAATCTCATAAAGTCATTAATATGCAGTATAAGGGTGAGAACAAATAGTGTTAATTTGACGTGTGATATTGTTGGGTGCGTGTGTGCGTGTGTACGTATAAATTAATATTTAAAAAAATATAAATGAACGAATAGTGAAAAAAACTTAATTTATTCGCGGAAATGCTTTACTTATTTTGATCAATGAAGATGAATGATGATAAAGAATTTTTTAATTATTTATTTTGAAATTAAAAATTAAAATCTTAGATATATTAAATAAATATCATTACATTATCTTAAATAAAATATACACTAATCTTAAATTGTCATTTATTTTCTTAAATTTGGATCTTATTGATTGATTGTTTAATTTAAACATATAATAAAAAATATAAGTAAAATTTCAAATTGCATAAATATAAGTAAACCCACTGTAGAGATAAAAAAAAATATATAAATATATCTCATAAAACTTTATCGATCTAGATAAATAAAAAAAAATTAAGAAATTATTAATTAATGAAATCAAATTAATTCCAATATGATATAAAATATGATATAAATAAATAAATATTCGATAACTTACCATTCCCTTTTTTTTCGTTTATCAGGTTTTGGATTTTTTCAAACCAAAATCATCATCACCACCACAATACGTTAAAAAATATGAATATTATATAATAAATATTATATAATTTTAATTTTCTTTTTTTTAGGCGAGGGATCGAAATTATTTTTCAAATTATTAACAAAATGAAAGATCTAATTTGCCCTCGCCTTTTTTAAAAAATGAAAAAAGGAAGTAAAAATAATAATAATATATAAGAAAATAATTTAAGGTAAATAATTATTAATTTAATAAGTTCCTTAAATATATTAAAATATAATTATAATGAGAGTGAGGATTTTTTTCAATTAATGTAATGTCTATTATTATAATATTATTATTATTATTATTATTATTACTATTATTATTATTATTATTAATATTAATTATTATTACTATTATTATTATTATTATTATTATTATTATTATTAATATATTATTGATGTATTATGTTACTAATTTCCCCTCTTCACACAATTTATTTCCACCCTTAGATTATAAGAAGGTAAGCTCTATTTATTAACAAATCACCCTTCCTTTACTTTTTGACATCTGATTGATCTAATTCTAATAACAATGATAATTGTTAGACATCTCCTCCAACGAGCAGAGGATTTGTCCATCCGGTGATAAGGTAATTAAATCATTGTTGATGTTGTTGTTGTTGCTGTTTAACGCCGAAGATAGCGGCGATGGAAATTGTGTCTTTTTGGTGACATGTTCAACAGCTACTAACACTTGACACTTTTCTTCATTAGTAGTGTAGGTTGATTTCGCTTCCACTTTAATAAATATCGTAACAAAAAGTGGGAACTATAATAATTATATAAAAATAAATAAGTAAGTTGATTGTTAGTTTGTTATTTTTTTTTTTTGGTAATAAAGAAATTTTTTGAAAACTTATTATTACTATTCCCCCCCCCCCCCCATAGACATTATAATTTTTCGATAAAAAAAAAAAATCTACAAATATAAATCGTGAAAAAAAAAATCTAATATACAAACGAGTACCACATCGTTCGATTATAATAATGCCAAAAATATATACTTCGATTATATTATTTCTTAAAAATTTTTTTTTAAATTCCTGAAATTACTATTCTAATTGTTCTAATGATTTTAAATCATTTTTGATTATTCATTTCGTGATATTGTTCCAAATTTTTAAATAAAATTAATTTACTTACGCGTGAAAAGAATTCCACTTGGTTTTCATCAAGAACGATTACGTCACCCTCCATATGAGAGAAAAATGAATGGCCAGCTCTAATATTTACCAAGACTTTATTCAGTCCTGAAAAATCCAGCTCTATAATAACAATAACAATGATATTTAAATATTGGATTTCTTTCATTTATAAAAAATACCCTTCCGCAGAAATTATTTCTCAAAAACCTACCCGTCCTTAGTCTTTGATTTATACTTTCTACATTATCTTCCAAGGTATTCCCTAGGATTGGAATTGAATCGCCAGCCCGTGAAAAATTTTCTGTTAGCCATGTCTCAATTATCCTAACGATGTCTTTCGAGTTAAATGGTAGTTGTGAGTATGATTTGTGTGGAATCTATGAAATATAAAAATGCATATTTGTACAAGTGTGTGTGTTATATATATGTGTATATAATGTGTAAATAATAATATTATTATAAATATTATCATAAATATTATTATGTTATTAATTTCCAAAAATACACTACTTACGGCTAGAGAATTTGCACCATCGTAATAAATTGTTTGTAATAAAGCTGAGATGACGTTGGGGTTAATAGATTCCTGTATTGCTAGTTCATTAATAAATTTCGTCACCCATGGGCTATTTCTAAATTTCTTGCCCAATGTTGAAGGTGATTCACCTAAAGACTCGTGAGTAAAAGCATTTTCTCCGTCGCGATTCTCTTGCAAATGCATTTGTTGTTGTTGTTGTTGTTGTTGTTGTTGTTGTTGTGGTTGTTGTTGTAAATAATGAAATAACTGTTGATAGTCCGGTGAAGGAGGAGGAGATAAGAAAAATGAATTTTTGTTAGAAGGCATCATCGTAAAATCTACATTTATATATAAACAAATTTTATTATATTAATTAATATGATATAATATGAATATATGATTGTATTATAGTGATTATTTAAAAAAATAAATAAACAAATAAATAAACATTTATTTATTTCATTATCAATTATTATTATTATTATTATTATATCCATTTATTATTGCGATTAAGGATAATTTCTAATTCTAAATGAGGAAAAAGAATTTTGTGGGTAGAATTACACAAACACAGTAAAAATAAAAAATAAACAAAAAAATTTTTTTTGATTTTGGTTGGATGCAAAGTGTAACTCAAGATAAGATAAATATTAAAAATTGTAAAAAGATAAGATAAAAATAAATATGTAATAATATTTGTTACACTTAATCATAAATATTATGATGATAATAATACGATAATGACAATTTATATGATAAATAAGTAATGATTTTAGTTACCTGAATTAAAATTATTATTAGCAGTTGGTGACGCAGGTGCTGGATTTAAGGATAATTTATTGAAAGCGAAAGTAATTGTATGATCCATTTTTATTATTTTTATTCAAGATTAATTTGTAAAATAATAAACAACACGTTTGAAAAGATCTCCAAAATAAAAATAAAAGATTTTTATTGACGATTTGTTGATATATTTAATGAATCCTTGTGATATATAATGAATAATGTGTAATGTGATTGATCAAAAAGATTGTTGTTTATAAAATAGATTTGAGCTTTGGCCTTCTCTTTCTTTCTTTTTATTATTTTAAATAAAAAATCAGTTTTAAAAATAAAAGAAAAAAAGAAAAAGAACTGTGTATATATAAGAAAATTTTTCGGTTATAAATAAATATGTAATTGATAAATAAATATGTAATTATATTTATGTGAGAGAACAATGGGGTATAATTGTAGTTAGCGGTGTAAGTGCAAAGAGAAAAGAAAGTGGTGGAAACTGTGGAAATAAGGAGTGAGAGTGACTGACTATATTTAAATTTAATTAATGTGCTCGATTGTTTTAATTTGATTTTAAAAGAATAAATGAATCAGAGAAATAATGAATGGGTGAACTTTTTTATATTTATATAATAAATTTGTTGAATAAAAAGTTTTTTTCCTCTACTATAATAATAATCATGAAAAAAAAAATATATAATGGATGACATACGCCAAATAAAGATTTCTTATAAAAAAAGTAATATTACGAGAGGGGTAATATAATGATGTTGCTGTATATTGCTGTAATGTGTATAATTTATATGTATTAAATAATATATACATATAATTGATGATTTTTCTATGTGTCTATTCTCTATTACTAGTATATATTCTATATATATATATAATTACGTATTATAAATTAAAAAAAAAGTATAATTTTAACTACTCGACTATATTAACATAATATATATATGTGTGTGTGTGTGTGTACCAGATAATTTTATCAGATTTTACTTTTAATTGTAACGTATATATAATAATATGTAAGATAATTTTATCTTGATTTTAACTTGTCAATTATTATCAATAATAGTTAATCAAAATCTATTAAGATTACGTACAAATAAAAATAAGTCTAAAACTTTAAAAATTCAATTTTTTTTTAAAGGTTTCTCGCGAATGTTCTTTCACACGAATCTGATTGGTTGAAAATTTAAAATTGAATCAGTGGAAGAAATTTTGTATGTTTTTGTGTGTGTACGCATATGCGTTTTTTCTATCTAGCTAACAACGAATCGAATTTTGGTGGGATGATGTTATTTGATCCTTTCTTTTATAATATTCCTTTCTTCCTTGAATGTTTTAATTTAAGCAAATAATCCATATAATGATGTTTTTGAGTTCATATATTTAAGTATATATATATATGTGTGTGTATATGTATGTAACATGTATAAACATGTACGTACTACTGTATAAATAGATAGTCTATATTTATATGGGATATTATATACAGTATGTTACGAATATATAGCACCAATATACTCACACACAAAATAATTAGGAAAAAAAAATTTTTTTTTAATATAAATATATAAATATATATATATATATATATATAAAAAGACGCCATAAATAAATTAAAAATCCATAATTGTCTATTTATTATTATTATAAAAAATAGTTTTGCCGTCTCGGATTATTTATTTGGAATGAATAAATTTGGTCAACTAAAATTATGGGGGTAGAACGAGTAAAAAATCACAAGAAATCAAGAAATCAAGAAATCAGGCGAATTGAAAACAATGGGAACCTTTCGTATTATAAAAAATTCTTGATTTATTTATTTATTATTATTATCCTCCATCCATTTATTTATTTACTTGGTTGTTTTTGGTAGTTTCTTACAAGAAAAGTAAAAAAAATTTGCGGAGGCGAGTAAACAATCAAAATAATTATTTATAATTATAATCAATCAATCAATCAATCGAGATAATATTGTAAATAATAATATTATTAATGATGTTAATATTATTAATAATGTTATTATTAATTATTATTAAAAACGATTAACAAGAGAATCAAGGCGCCATAACTATTTACTTATTTAGTTTGACCATTATTGTTTATTATTATTGTGAGTCAAAAAGAAGATTGCAAAGGTGAAAATATTAATTATTCTTTCTATGTATTTACTCTGCATTGTTTGTTTTGCATTGCTTTGTTTACTTGTTTATTTTAAATTCGGCCCCGTCCAAAGTTTTTGACGTAGTTGATCAATAATAATAGGCAGTATATAATTAATTAATTACATATATGTTATGACGATATATAAATAAATATAATAGAAAACGTGTCATCATCATCGCCACAATCATTATCAAAAGATTAGATTACGTACGATCTTTTTTTCTTCGCTGATATGAAATACCACAGTAAAAAAAAAGTTCGTGTGAAAAATAAACTCTGAATTTTAAACAAATTAGAGAATTTTTTATAATTCACCTAAGCCTCATTTTTAATCCCCATATTAAAATTTATCGTGTCGTCATCAATATTTATTTATAATTAAAATTCGTGTGATTGTTGATTATTGATAAAAATTTGAATTTGATAAGATTAGATCTAAAAATTATTATCACCTTACATAAATTTACTTTTTTTGTTTATTACGCATTATATAATGGATAAATATGGAAATAAGTAAAGTTACACGACATATTATTTATTATGTTGTGTATGTATATATTCCTTAGTTTAATTCAATTAAGGAAATAAAAAATGGAATTTTTTTTTTTTCGATAATTTTCCACCAAGTCACATGATTTAAATAAAAAAATGTAGATTTTGAAAGTTAACGAAAAAATGATTGACTCATAATTCGATCATAATCATCATTTATAGATAGATTATGTAAAATATAGTTGGCAGGCATAATCCTTGAATTTAATTTTTAATTTTAAAGATTATCCTGTCTACAATATACATGCATACATGCTTGCACATATTTTTCGCCCGGGTAACAGTAACCATTAATACAATAATAATTTTTTTTCCAATTACTATTCTACTCACGCATCATTTTCTTCTTCTCTCGTATTCTACTCGCGCATTTTTCCTTTTATATAAATTTCTATTCTCACACAATCATTCTTATTGTTTTTTTTTAATCTAAACAAACAAACATTACAACACTAAAAAAGACATGCATATATATAAAATCAATAACCATTCAATTGATTGTTATTCCTAAATTAATACAATTAATTAATATTATTTAATTTAATTTATAATTTGACATAATTTTTTTTTCCTTTAAAAAGCATATACAATAAATAAATGTTGCTTATATATGTTGTGAAAGGGAATTTATTTATTTATCATTCAAAACTAATATTTCCGTTTATTGTCATCCCTCATCATTATTTATAAATAATAATAATTAATATTAATTAGTATTCGTCGTAAAAAAAATCTGGGTGTGTCGTATACTAATACTAGTTCCTAATTTAATGATTCGTTAAATTTTTTTTTTTAAAAAAAAAATATATATAACACACAAATCACATCCAATCATTTAGTTCCACACAAAAAATTTTTTTTTTTTTTTTTTTTTTTTGAAAAACAAAAAATTATCCTTTTTAGAAAATTGTAGGCGTCGACCGAAATCGTAATAAATTATTATTAATGTTAATATTAACCATGCAATTAACCAGTAATATGTAATGAATGTTGTAGTTTGGTTGGGAGATGTTACCAAAAGATGGATGAGCTAGTTAAGTTACCAATAAATATCAATAATAAACCATGAATTTTTTACTTATCAGTCATGTAATATAATATGTATGTAAATTGATAAATATTTATTGCGCTCTTTCTTTCTCCATTTACCGTTTGGTATATCAATTTCCCCCAGAATGAGAACATCATACACACACACATATATTATATTCAGATGTTTATATGAGGTTTTCATGTGTAAATAAATTTTTTTTTTAATTTTTTTATTATTGGGGCATACCGCGACCAGATAGTTAATTATTAATATTAATATGACTCAAGTTTAGTGGATCTGTAAAATAATGCAGATCATTCTATAATTCTTTCTTTAATATCAAAAAAACCAGCCATAAACCCTTTAGGGGTTGTTGTGTGTGAAATTGAAACTATGTGAAATTGAAATTCATAATAATAATAATAATAATAAAAGTGTGCTTGGGTATGAACTTCTGATTGGCTAACTTCACTCACAACCGGGTGTTAGATATAAGTAGTATGATCATAAACATAAGGGAAAATAATAAACCCTAATTTTGTCGATCATTTTCATAAATTTAATTAATTAAAGAAACGTAAACTGTTATAACTCATCATAAAGATGAGATTTTTCAATTATGAAAAACGGGTTGAGTTTGCAGAATATGCACCTAAAATGTAACAGAGACATGTTAATGTACTTTCATATCGAAAATGAAATTTTCGCCATAAATCCTGGATGCCTACTAATGCAAATTTTAAAAAAATCATAATCGAAAAAAATAGCATTGTTACGTTTATAGTTAATGTTCTTATTAATTAAAAACACTTGATTTTTTTTCTAGCTATTTGCTTTCCAAGGTTATAAACGCTTTAAGATTAAATAAGAAAATCGCCTTTGCATAAACTGCCGAGACATTTTCTCTGTAACACAATAGTCACATTTATTGATATACCTAATTCTAAATAACCAATACCTATAAAAAAAATAGCGTTGTTACGTTATAGACAAGGTTCTAGAAATTAAAACTTTTTTTTGTAGCTATTTTGCTTCCAAATTTATAAACGCTTGAAGTTTCCGATTGTTAAAGCCTTGCATAAACTATAACTCGTCATACAGGCGAGAATTTTTAATTCTGGAAAATGTTTTGAGCTCGCAGAACATGTCTCTACAATGTAACGTTGCTATATTTTTAAAAATATCCATTAACGTTGATGTATTTTCATATTGCAAAATGCAATTTTTATCATAATAAACAAAAAAACCAGCTACGTTACATTTTAGACAAGATTTCTTAAGAGTTAAAAATTTTTTTATTTTTTCTGTAATTTCCTGATTAATTAAAGAGAATTACTTTTGCATGAACTGTCATTGCCCATCATCATACAGATGAAATATTTAATTTCGAAAATGTTTTGAGCTCGCAGAACATCTCTCTCTCTACTATGTAAGAGCTATATTTTAAAAACTTTATTGAAATTGAAATCGTACTTTTTATATTGCGAATGTAATTTTGTCATAAATTCTAGATGGTTACTAATACAAATTTAAACAAACCATAATAAACAAAAAAATCAGCATTGTTATATTATGGACAATGTTTCTGTGAATTGAAACCATTTCTAGTTTTTTTTTGCTCCCAAAGTTATAAACGTTTTTAAGATTCAGTTATTAAAGTCTGCACATTTATGTTACATTCCAATAACTTGTTTATATTTTACAAAAACCAGAAATCAAAAATCAATATTTTATCAATGTCAAAAAAACTGCAAACATCCATAACTTTTTTCTTTAAAAAGACCCCCAATTAACAAAATTGTTTACCTTCACTGAATGTTTTTTTTGTAATTCACTATAAAAATCTACAATACAAATCAAAATTGATAAAATAATTAATTTAACAGAATCCAGAGATAATCTAATTAATCAAAAATATTTGGTGTTAAAAATCTGCAGAAGATTTCAAACAATTGTTTGATAAAAAGACTCAATTTTTTCCTTTAATGGTAACTGAAATTAAAGAATCACATGGATAGAGAAAAATTGCTGCTTTAACTCTAAAAACTTTTCCGTCCTCGAAAATCATTTCCAAAAATCTATTAATTGGGTTCAATATGTTAATAAAATTATCCTTTCTACGTCTATGCAAGTGACCCCCTTGTTATTTGGTTAAAAATCTAAGGTAGGTAACCACATGTTCCTACAGATGTTCTTGTATATGGTTCGGTTTTCTCGCCTTCATGATAAAATAATTTAAAACCATTGGTTCATTTATTTATTAATATACCACCAGCCCTATATATAAAAAATTTTTCTAGATATTTTATTTTTTCGCACTTTTCCACGCTTTTTCCATGAAAAGGTACTGTTTTTCCGAAAAAGTTTTTTAAAGTGATGGTATATATACCATGGTATTATAAAGAATTGTGGGTGTATACCCCAGGATTACTCTGAATGGTAACCTGTTATATGAAATTAGAACATTAGAATGATTGACATGGATAAATCAAAATTTTGAGAATTTGAAAACCCTACATCGAGTGCCCTTTGATCTGCAATTGCATATCATTAGTTAAATGGTTACAAGAAGCAAAATTGTTGAAAATAGTAGAGGCTTTTTGAAAAAGAGAGTCTGAATGCAATTTCAAAATCCATAACCTTTCCCGCCCCAATCTGAATTCTCTATTGGCTTAATAGCTTAGTCGAGTAGCTGGTTAGGGCTACGTGCTCAGCTCTGATTGCTTCGATTATGTCTGATTTTTATAAAATTGAGAATTTAAGACGGATGCTGTTACAAATTTATAATTGGCACTTTGAACAACTGTTCCAAGAAGTGCTTGGTGGCAATTCAAAAATGATAGATATCAACAATTGTGAATGGCATCAAATTGGATTTCCAATAGTCATTCATGATATAAAAATGAAATTTTTCATTCAACATTACAAAATCCACCTATAATAATAATAATAATAATAATAGTAATAAATATACGGAATTTCCGTATTATTAAGTACGTTCTAATAAATACAGAATCAACGTACTTGTTATTATTAGCGGTTTGAAAATTTGCCCTTTTTAACACAAGGTACGGAATGTGTGGCATACCGAAAGAGTACTAGCCCTAGTAATAGTACGTTTTTCGTGTATGCCATATTAATACTAATACTAACAGAATAAGTAGAGAGTGTATTAATTAGTATGATATTAATATACTGAAATTATATAAACATAACGGAATAGGCCCATATAAAACGCATGTTTTTATTATTATAGAATCAATTAATTAACATAATTCTAAAAAATAAAATAAAAATGCCCCAATCCTCCCAGATGCCGATATATTATTTTTCCAACGATGCACATGGTAATGAATCCATCTATTAAAAAAATCTACAAAACATATCAATATTAATATTAACAATAGATTTATAAAGAAAGATTAACAAAACATAAAGTTGTAGATTGCTTTGTATTAAAATTTTTGATAGTTGTGATTTATTTTTTTTTGCATATATTTTATTATTGTTTGTTGAAAGTTGAAGCTATATTAGTTTGTAATTGGCAAAAGCCAAAAATTAATTTCTACAATATGGGTCCAATTGAATGTTGGTTACATGAAAATATCAACAATAATATGGCAAAAATTCTTTGTATAGCAATAAAATTACAATTGTATTTATAATTGATATAAAACTGGTGAAATTCCATTAATAAATATAAAGATTATAGTAATTATAATAATACATTAAAAAGAAAAACCTAATGTTTTTTGATCTATATACAGAAGGTTCAAAAATGCCTATTATCATGTAGATAGATTTTTACTCAGTAAGGTCATATACCAAAATGGCTTAAAGAATTGGGAAAACAAAGTATTTGAAAACGATTGAAATTAAATAGTCAAAATAAATTCAACACTAGATCTAAAGTTCTGGATATAGAAGACAAATGAAGGAAACCATGGATTATAACTGTCAATAATATCAATAGGATTGTTAATGGAACATAATGGGTTAGGTTGGGTTCATATTATTGTGGAGCAAGGGTTAACCCAACCCAACCAGGGTTAAATGTACTGGGTTAATACTCCATGGGTTGCTCCGGGTTGCTCCATGGAGTAATAATTATAATTATAATTCTCATTTAAAAAAAAAATTATACTAATACCAATTTTTAAATTATAATAATTTTAAAACTTGCATAATAATATAATTATATATTTTGATTCCAAATTTAATTTCCTTTTTATTAAATGTTTAAAAATTGAATAATAATTGTAAAAGAATAAAATTTTACTTGAATTAAATTTTCAAAAAAAAACCAATTTTACCACCCTTCCCCCGACCACCACCCCTACGAAAATAGGTCTTTATATATTTTTTATCACATAAATAATCGTAAACACTCCGCGTAAATAATTATAAACAAAAACAAACATTCGTTATTATTAAATTCGATCACGTAGATCCATTATTATTATTAAATATAGATTTACGTACTACCGGTTAAAATAAATGATTAGATTAGATATTAGAAATATTTAATTGATTAATAATCAAATTACTAAAATAATTTGGAGCAACCTGGGTTATAATAAAATATTTTGCTCCGGGTTAGTACAAAAAATTAGAAATTTTAACCCACTCCATGATGGAGTGATACATAACCCGGGTTGATGCCAGAACATTATGCTCCATTTAACAACCCTAAATATCAATGATCCTTTAATCTTAGAAAAATCAGCTTTAAATATTAAAATGAGTTATTAATAGAACATTATATTAATATAAGAGAATGCTCAGAAGAACTAAATGATTTCCATTTACATTTTCCATCTTTGAGATAAAATGTTGAACTTCAGTTGGTGCATTTTCGTTCTCACCATCACCACAAAAATCATCAGAATGGTCATCTTCACTAGTAGAATGATCTTGCATAGGTTGAAAAAAGATAGGTGAAATAGAACGTGAAGGTGAAGTACTATCTCGAAGATTGGGAGGATCTATGGTGAGAGATGCTTCCTCAAATGGTCGTTTAGGACCCTGGAAACTACATAGATAGGTTACAATTTTTTTGGATAAATCAATATGTAAGAAAATTGAAAAGCTAGAGAAAAAATTGGGTAAATTAATATAGATGGTTTAAAAGGTTACGACTTTTGTAGGGTAACTAGAGTGACGATAACCACCACCACCATCCTTTTGATAAACACTTATCCAGCAATCTCGGCTAATTTTTTTGATTGCCTCCTTTTGCCTTTTTCTTTCCGCATTTTTTAATTTTTAATGATTGTTATTGGCACTTAGTATTGACAAAGATTTTTTTCTGAGGACAGACGCGAAATTTTTTTTTGGAAAACAATTTATTTTTTGACAGATGACAAAATGTGAGTGTTGTTGTTGGTATGATAATGGTTTGGTTCTGAAGACATGTTAATAACTAACCAGAGATACTTTTTTTTATTTTATAAATATTTTATTTGGAATCAAAGCGTGGGCAGGACTCGCTGCGTAATTATAATATCCTTATCAAGATAATAACAAATGAACGATTGGTATTTTGCTTTTCGTAATCAATAATAATAATATTATTATTATTGTAAATATATAATAACATTTATGATTTTAAAGGAAAATACCTTTATAATAAAACTTCATGAGCATTGAAATTATCCTGATGCCTTGGTAATTAACTGCCATTCTTTCTTTATTATGTGTTTAAATTACATTTTTTTTTCAAAGGTGTAATAAAAAAAAAGTATAAAAGATATCTCTGACAAGGTAAAAATTAAAGTTATCCTGATGCAACTGATTATAAAGAAATTTTTGTGTCAATTGAAAACGTGACTTTACACATGAATTCATTTAAATTATTGTTACACAATATAATTTCAAGATCGTCACTATATGACAAACGTGATAAAGAGAACTCACTAGTTAAAATAATAAAAAGTCCCACTTTAATTGTAAATCTTTTGTTTCAGTAGATGAAATGAAGCCATATTCACATTATCGGCTAAACGTAAGAGAATGGCGAGTAGAAGTGAAATATAACTAAATTGATTTACTACCTATTGAAATCTTTGTAATTATAATTTATTGTCATCATAATTATCATATATTTGCTTTAGTGTTATTAATTCTATCATTATTATTGTTTATTGAAAGATGATATAACAGTTAATTCATAATGAACAGACATAAGATTTTTCATTATTAAAAGAAATTTTATCAAATAACAACATAATTACATAGTTGTGTGATTTTTTAATAAAATATTTTTAAATAAATTTTTTTATATACTTAACCAGTTAATTAACCGGTTCCAACCTCCATATTGTATATATAGTAATATCTATGCCATTTTATTTATTTATTTTGCTTTTTTTTGTTTGTTTTTGTTTGTTTTGTTTGTTTTTAAACGTTCAGAACGTCGAAGAAGAATAGTTGGGTTGACGTGATTATCATCACCACCATCACCACCATCACCACTATCACAATTATCACCATCGCCAATATTTGTCTTTCTATTTTTTGTTGGTCTCTCATTATTTTTGAGTACGAGCCTTTTTTTCTTGGTGTTTGGTTCATCTTCTATGATTTCATCATTAACTTTATCATTATTCCTCTTATTATTACTTTCTTTGGTTACGACTCTTTTTTTCTTGGATTTTGATTGTTCATCATCTATTTCATCGTCATCATTATTTAATCTATCGTCCTCTTCTTCATAATTGACTTTGTCATCATCCTTCTTATTTTTTGTTGATATCTTATTATTTTTGATTTTTTTGGTCATAATCCTTTTTTTCTTGACTTTTGATTGTTTATCATAATCGTTTACTATATATTCTTTCATTTTATTCCTTCGATTATTAGGATTGTTGCTTTTTCGTCCTCTTGTTTGTAATGTTTCGAGTTCTGCTGGTGGTAAAATTAACTTGGGATTGACCGAATAAAGTTTATACTTTAGATATAATTGAAACACTGCTTGTTCTATATATATACATATATTAGAATAAAAAACGTTAATTGCGTAATTGTATAATTAATTTATAATAATGATGATGATGATGATAATGACAATACCTTTATCTTTTGCTTCAATCATTAAATCCATATCCATTTCACATGGAGGTAATTGCTATACATAACCATCAATTAATAAATTATTCAATTAGTAATTAATCATTCAATACATAATATACCTTAACACGATCAGAATGCGCTCTTTTTTCCATGATATTTGAAGCTCCAGGTCTTCCCTCGGAATAATGTTGTTTGGGTTTAATTCCTTTGTCAGTCCATGTTTTATTAATTTCTAAATAAATCATCATATCATTTAATAAGATATTTAATTGGGTTTGTTTTAAAATATATATTTTACCTGGTATAAGATCAAGTAAATCTTGGTCAGAAAGTGTTCCGGAATTCAAACTATAATGATAAAAGGTAGAATTAATACATTTACCAATGTATGATGTATATATGTGATGTATTTATTGTTATTAAAAATACCTATGATGATGCCTTATTATTATTATTATTAGAAAACAACAAAAAATTTATTAATTGACATTTTCACATTCTCCCAATCCTCCAAAAAAATTTTACTGACCAATCCAAAATCAAAGGTATTTTCAATTTTTTACAAATAGGTAACAAATCTTGGACATTATAACAAATTTCATCATTCTCCAACACCAATCGATCTCTAATACTCGGTGACAATACCTTAAGATAATTGTCTTCGAATCTCTTCAATGTCGTCTCCTTACTATTGTAGACCCCTCCCATGTGGATTACCATTATCGAATCTTTTGGTAATCCCATCAAATCCATCATTTCTGCGTGATACGATAAATCATTATACGTTTTACGAACCACCGCGGAATTCGGACTACCCAATTGATTATATTGACCAGGATGTGTTGTCTATTCATATGATGGTTGGTAATTGAATAATTTATTATTAATTTATGATTGTCAAGTAGCCAATTAATCGATTGGTTAATTAGATAATTAGATACCAGGCGATGTCCGTTCTTTTTAGCAAAGTCGCCTACAATACGTAATTCTTTTGCAGCATAATCTAACGAATAACTTTGTCAAAATTAATTAAAAATGTATATATAAATAGATATATTATATATAGAATTGTTTGATATGTCATACCCATATTCCTCATGACTAGCAAATGGAAAGATACCTGAAGAAATTCGCATGAATTTAATATTATTTTCTAAATTTTTTTAAAAAAATTTAAAATTTATCCAATAATCGTAATGAACTTTAATAATATATAATATATGCACACGCACCTTCATTCCACTAAATTCATTTTTTTTAAAAAAAATAAATAAGTCAACATCCAATGATAATAAAATTCAATATAGATGGACAAATAGATAAAATATATACTATACTTTAACCAATGTACACAAATCAGTAACATTTTGAATTCCTAATTGTTTTACATATTCCATCCCCTTTTGCTTTATCGTTACAATTCTACAAGTTCTCGAACAAAAAATTGGTGGTTTTTGATTCCTTAAATACATATTTAAGCAACTAACCCATTTTTTATTTGTTAGATTAATAATAACAAGATTAGATCATACATATACATATATACGCATTATCAGATAAAAACTTACGCGTATCCAATTCGACCTCGAAATTTTGTTTCGACAACAACATCATCAGTGTTGTTATTATTATCATTTGTTTTTATTTTATTCTCCATTGTTGCAGTGGCTACAAAAAATATTATTCTTATTCCTTTGTTGAATTATAAATATTACTATTGTTATAATTATTATAATGAATTAATGAAATTTACGTTCACTATTATTAGTTGGAAATTTTTAAATCGTTTAATGATAATAGATCAAGAATTCGAATTCGATTATTTAATATTTGTAACTGAATTATTTTTGGACGAAAAAGAAGGGATACCTATTTATTTATATTATTTATTTAAAATAATTTTTTATGATCAATTTTTAAAATTTCAAGATCGAAAAGTATTTAATCAAATATCGATCGTGACATTATCATTATTATTGTTGCATAATTTTAAATTTAAACTGGAATAGGTTTACTCTATATTCTTTAGAAATACGCGCGTAAGGATTTTTTTTGTTTGTGCGCACAAAATTTATCATTAATTGATAATCCATTAACAATTATTTATTATTCAAACAATGAACCTTATCAATTCAACAATAACCTTGATACTTTCTCCAATTACTTTACGCGCTCACTTACTCGTATATGTATATATCTATTGACTAATTTGCACATTAATGTTATGAATCTGTTAACATCATCCAATCCAAGAACAATTATTATTATCATAAATTTTCTTTAAAGACAAAAATAATAATATAGATACAACAAAAATTCTGAAAATCTTTATTTTATTATAAATTTGTTATGATCCTTTTCCTAATGCACTTTGAAGAGCTTCATACACTTCAATTTCAATTTTAGCCAGATTTTTCTCTTCATCTGTAGCACCTGAATTAACAACACGTTGCGCTTCAGCTAAATTACTTCTTACAGTCTATAATATGTATGCATCTATTAGATTCTTGTATATTTTTCAAAAAAAATATCTCAAGGTCAAATTTCATTACCTCAATTGAAAAATCTTCTAATGGATGAGCTTCTGGAGCATTAATTTCAAGTGTTGAATCAGAATTAATCACAGCAAATCCACCACTACCTAAAAAATAAACATTGATGAGTATTATTTTAATTTTTAGTAAAAAATAAAAAAACAAAAATAAAAAATAAATCTCACTAAAAATTTTTTTTGATGAAGAAGGATTTTCATATATTTCAATTAGACCAGGTTTTAATTGTTCAATTGAGGGAACATGACTTGTTAGTATACCCATATCACCAGAAGTAGATGAAATATTTACTTGATAAACTTCTTCATTCTTGTATAGTGTCTTTATTTTGGTGGAAAAAAATTTTAATCAATGAACATTTATATATATATAAATAAATATAATTATTGTACATTATATTAATTATCATATTAGATTACCTGATGAGGTAAAGCAAAACTTAAACGTAATTTATCTGAACTTGTGGACGTTTCTGTTGCATATGAGCGAACTAATTATACAACAAATATTAAATATTAATAAATTGTGAGAGGAAAAAAATAATGATCATACAAAATTTTTTCTTTGATTCTATTATTACCAAAAGTATTTTGTCTGGTGTAAAAAGCAATTCTAAGTGTCCTAGCAAGAAAACTCATTTTTTTTTTTAAATATTCAAATACTTTTTTTTATTTGCGATTATAATAAAAATTTTTAATGAAAGATGCTTTCGTGTAACTTTGATAATATATTTAAGGAACGTTACATCCGGAAACTATTATTCAAAAGAATACAAATATTTTTTTTTCACACACAAAATTACAAAAGAAAGGGAAAAAGAAAAAAAAGAAAGAGGAAATAATAATAAATAAACGAATAATAATAAACAAAATGGATATAATAATATAATAATATAATAATAGTTGAACGTTAATCTTCGGTGTGAATCAACCCGTCAAAAATCTACCATTAAACTTAATCACATACATTCTAAAGGTAAGTTGATCCACACAGAAGATCACGGTACTAAGTATATATAGTAGGATTCTTCAAATATACGTCAATTAAACAATCTAATGGTGGTTGCTTGTGTGGCGCCTGGATTAACCAGAAAAAAATTATTTGCCAAGCTTATACGATGAGATTTTTGATGATGAGAAGAAGGATGATTGTAATGAGCATTTTGATGAGGAAGAGGAGAATTTGATTCATTTCTAGTCATTGTAATCAATTTAAGTGCGTTGATGGCAGCATCTTTCTTTGCATCTTTTTTATTTCTTGCTTGACCACATCCATAACGTTTACCATTTATAATAACTTCAACTGTAAATATTGAATTATGTTCAGTTCCACCACCACCACCACCACCACCACCACCACCACCAATTTCACCACAAAACGGTACATAGACAGGTATTCCTAATCCTCTTCTTTGAGACCATGTTTGGAGTTTGTTAATTGGATCCTGCAAATCTGAATGAAGGATATAATCAGAAGATCCCAATATTGAAGAATTATGAATATGACGGTGATCTTCACTGCTACTACTACTACTAATGCTATTGCCATTGTTACCATTATTGGGTGGTTCGTATTTCAGATGGTTGCAATGAGAAGAACGTGTAAGTTTATCAACGGCTGGTGTCAGCAAAGGTTCCATGAATTCTTGAACGGCATACAAGCTTGAACCAGAATCTAAAAATACGGCACCGATATATGCTTCGAAAGCATCCTCCAATACCTTTTCACTTGCTCTTCCTCCATCCCTTAAAGCTCCCACACCAAGTCTTATCTCACTATCTAATCCAAGTTGAAGTGCAAACTGTGCTAACTTTTTTTTACAAACGAGGTTAGCTCTTAGTAGAGTTAGTTGACCTTCTTTGAAATGAGGAAATCTACCAAACAAATAATTTGCTACAACAAAAGAAACAATCGAGTCACCGAGAAATTCTAATCGTTCGTTATGAGGTCCGTTTGAAGGATTTTCGTAATGAAAAGATTTATGAGTTAAAGCTTCTAAACGTAAATTATCATCCAGAAAATTTCTCTGACTAACCAAATTTTTATTTTCTAAAGTTTCTAAAGGCATTTTTTTTCAAAGAAAGGAAGAATCAAAAAATCAAGAAAAAGAGGTATATGTTATGATTAATATGATTACTATGCTGTTATTTTTATTGTATTTTTTTATTTAAAAAATGAAAAAGAAATTATTATTTAATAATAATAATAATAAATAGTAAGAATAATAATGAATGAATTATTTTTAAATCGTTTTCAATTTTATTTATTAAAAGTATTGGTTACACGATTTGTTTTATTTTATTGGAATTAATGTCCTAAAAGGGTAAATAGCAACCTATTTACAATTGTTTATCTGTTTATTTTAATATGAAAATAAAATAAAAAAAATTCTTTAATCTTCAATATTAATAATAATAATAACTTCTCCTGCGTAAAAATGTTCCTTTTTGAAAAATCGAAAGAAAATTTCCACAATAATAATAGTAATATATATATATATATATTAGTGAGTAAATAGATAATCAGTTAATTCACTTATTCGTATATTTTCTTTATCTTGTTCTCTCACACTTCTCCCTCTTCTCGGGCTTTGATTAAAATTTCCAAATAAACACAACGAATCTCAATATTTATTAAATTGTTGTTTACACAAAATCAATATTAGCAGCTCGATAGTAGTTGATATTGATATTGATTGCAATTACAAAAAAGTAAAATTAAAAAATTTTTCATTACAGCAAATATTAAAGGAAATTTTAATATTGATATACGATAATTATATATAATAAAACGGAATTTTTAAAAATGCATGCAACCGCATTATCTGTTTATTATTATTATTATTATTTACTTCTCGGCTACACATACAGAATTTGAAATAATAATGCATCATTTCTTTCATCGTCTTTTTTTTTTGCTCTATTTTTTTTTTTTTTTTTTTTTGCTGTTGCTCGTAAAAATCAAAGAATTATGTATGATTTTAAAAATAATGGAAAAAATTTTCCATTACAAGTTAATTTAATTTTTTTGCTTGTCAATTTACTTAACGAAGGGCTATAGCTAACATTTCATTTTTCTTTATCTAGAGAATTGCACCGCGTAATAGCAAGAAAATTTTTTGTCGGAAAATTATAAATTTATTCAAATTAGGAATTGTATTAGTATTGTATTAATATTCCCTAAATTATAAAATTACTATTATTGTGTCATCGTAACTCATCTATTTCGAAATATTTTTAAAATAGATATAATAAAAAAGAAATCTTTAATATTAAACTGCAGTTAAACAGTTCACGAAAGCAAACTTCCAGGTTAGTTGGATGCATTTACTAATTTATTTGTTCTTGCAAAAATCACATTATATGTTATTCTAGGATCATATTACAAATTCTGGAATGAGAACGAAAAAAGCAACTGCTCAAAACTTACCATTAAGTAATTTCTGTGATTTCAATCACAAACTTTATTTCAGGTAAAAATAATGGTTGGTTATTTTTGATGCTGGAGGTTGGAGAAAGTTTGAAGTGTCACTATTTGATTGGACATTGTCACGGAAAGGGCGTCGAGCTCCAATTGAAATTTAAAAAAAATTTTTGTTCAAACAAACAAATTTGTCAGCTCGGCTCGCCAATTAAGAGAGGAAAAAAACGGGTTTTTATGCGTAAAGATTTAAATATAATTCTACCAGAAGAGGAAGTGGATGTTGACAATTAACTGATAAGCAAACTATGTACGTGCGATTTCCCATTTATTGGATGACTATTGTTAATATTAAGTTAGTCTATATTGAAATGTCCGTTGATAAATTAGCAATACATTAAATTAATGCACTCTGTATGCATTAAAGGAAATGAGAGTAACATGGGATAAAATAATTACAATAAATTCTACCAAATCTTCTTTGAGTTTTGGGATCAACTTCATTATTATTTTTTCTAAAAAAAGGTTGAATTTTTAATTGTTAAATGTATAACGAATAACGATAACTAGAAGTAAATGTGAGAGAGCGTGTGTGAGTATGAGATAAATTATAGGTCGTTATTTCTATATTTCTTTTTCATATATAATTTCTTTTAGTAAAAATTGTTTATTTGTGTTATATTATTTTAATAAACATCATAAAGTAATTTTTTTGTAACAGTTCAATCAACTTACAAATTCGGATGTAATTTATATTTATATAGGGGTTAGTTATGTCATGCTGTTTTGTTTATTTGATTGGACCAATTTGTAAATAATGTTTGGGGCTAAAACTTTTTTATTTCTTTTTTTTTTTTTTCGTAAAAATGAAACCTTTTATTAATTTACAAAATGACTGTGAGTATTATTAAGAGTTGGTTTTCTAACAAGCATATATTTGTGTGTGTATGTGTGTATATATATATTGGATCATTTTAACATTGAACTTTCTTCAACTTTTTCAGATATTATGCATTCTCCTGAAATAAAGAATCAAATTCATGACGTTAATCAAACTCCTTCTTCTTCGTTCAACATAACGAAGATGCATGTAAATAACAATAGTGATAACAGTTATCATAATAATAATTATTATAATTATAACGCTAGTGATCATAACAACAACAACATCACAGATTTAACAATTAAAAAAAACGTTGAAAATGAATTTTTTAAGGACCATAATGAAAACCCGGCTTTATTAACATTCAATAATAATAATCCTTCAACTATAAATAATCACACTACAACCGTTAATCCAATAATGTCATTTTCAAAATTTTCCTCTCCATTAAAATTTAGCTATTCACCTAAATCAATATCTGAGGAAGAATCTCATATTCGAAATTATAGGGATGATGATGACGATAAAGAGGAGGAGGAAGAGGATCATGAAGAAAACGATAGTTCTAGTAGAGGTTTCTCGGAAAGTTCAAGTGGATCACATTACTCAGACGAAGAATATGAAACTTGGGCAAAAATTGATAATGAATTATCAACACTTGATCAAGCTTCTCATTCAGAAGAAAATCTTTTTGATCCCATAAATCGTCTCAAAGAATTGATGAATTCTCAAATTCAAATCGACTCATCTAATAATAATAGTGACGACGACGACAACGATGACGACGATGATGATGATGTGGGAAATAAATCTAATAATGAGTTGGATGAATTGGAAATTGCTTCATCGATTCATTCCGAACCTTTACCACTCAATAGTTCAGTTTCATTTAAATTAAATGATTATCACAAAAAAAATATTTATAAAAATGACGATAATAATAAAACTATTTATGAGGATGATGATAACAATAAAATTATTTATGAAGATAATAAACCTATTTATAATGATGATAGAACTGTTTATAATAATAAAACTGTTTACACAGATGACAATAATAATAAAACTATTTATCCAGACGGTGATGATAATAATAATGAAGAGGGCAGTGATAATGAAGATAATAATCACTCATCATCATCACCACAAATAAAACTACTTGATGATAATGATATTTCAGAAAATAAACACTTGTTAATTACTAAATCGAAAAAGAATGATAATTTATCCGCAAGTGACATCAAGCAAATTAAAACTAGAAATCAAAGAAAAAATGCTTATGGTACAAAAATAATTTTTAATAGAAAAAAATTTTTTTGCAATAAAAATTATTTATATTTATATTGAAATTATTTATTATAGTTGCAAAATTTGAATTGCTTAAACAAGAAGAAACAGGAATATTGCAATGGTTAAGATTAAATATCGGAAAAGAGCCACCAGATATCGTTAAAAGTAACTATTTGTCAAGTTTTAATTTATTTATTTACTCATTAATCATTGACTAATTAATTAATCAATTAATTAAGAAATCAATTAATTTTTATTGTTATTATTTGGAAAATAAAGATTATAAAAAAGGTTCAAATTCGGTCAATGATGATACATCTTTTAAAAATATGGAAAAAAATAAAATTTATTCTAACCCTTCAGCGAAACTTACAAATAGTCAACTATCGTTATCATCATTTTTACCATCATCACCATCATTAATAAGTAATAAAAAAAAATCTGTCGACAATTCACAATCATTATCTAAACCTATTTATTCTCCAAAATCTTCAAAAAATTCTACATCACCAAAAAATCCTCTTGATCACACATTTCAATCAAATTCTATATCATCACCATCACCAATAACACCTCCTCGATCAGCACCTCAACAACAACAACAACGACGCCATCAAGCATCCAAATCAAAATCGCAAATTTTCTTTACAAGTTTGAATAGACATAGCAGCATAAGCAAAACTCGTTCACCTATACCACCACTTAATATGCCGCCGCCTGTAATGAATGATCCTACCGCTAACGCTAAAACCACTAACCCACCTTTCTCCCCCTCCTCCTCTTCATCTACTAAAAACAACAATAAATTTGCTACTGTAATTTCACCAAAACGTCGTAGATTTAGTTTTCAAGCAATTACATCTAGACTTAGTGTAGGCTCATTCGCACCTATTTCACCTTTTCCTAAAACAATTGAAGAAAATAATAATAACGATTCATCCAATTCGACTATAGTTGTTGATGAAAAGGCTTTAAATAAATTATGTGATGTGTTGCCAGATGCCGAGAGAGAAGTTTTGGCAAGATATTTAAGAGCAGTAGGCGGAAAAGATGAATTATTGGCTGTGGGACTTTATATGAAAGATTTAAAAAGTAATAACGAAACATAAAATATCATTTATTATTTATTTATTTATTTATATATACTTACTATCTTAATATAATGTAAAAATTATTTAAATCATTATTAAATGTTTCTTTTGTAATTTATTAACAACAAACAATTCGAATATAATTGATTATTCATGTAAAAATAAACTGTATTTATTTTTTTTCTAAGAGAGGAGAGAATAAGGCTCGTATGTTAATGGATGAATAATAAATAAAAAATCTTTTTTATTAGTATAATAAATAATAATTTATTATTATAATATGTCTGACAAAATAACCACCCAAAATTCATTTAATTATTTCATATTGAGTTAATCTCAATTACTGTCAATATTTTTAATATAACTAGATTCAGGATTAAAAACGTTCACTTATTATTGAAAAACGTCTAAGCAAAAGTTCTAGTTTAACGAAATGATTAAGGAAGAAAAATTTGAAAATTGGGTTTATTTATAAGAAATCACGTCACACACGTAACAAAACGATCAGCCAATTATTGTTGTTATTACATAAAAAAAAATTTTTTTTTTTGTCAGAAGAATTTACTTTTTCGTGATTTCCATTTCCATCACCCAATTAAATAAATAATATTTAGCGTAGGGTTCAGAATTTGATAAATATTGCTTTATTTATATTCTTTTTCCATTAAATATATTATAAAAAATTATTATCATTATCATCTTTATTTAAAAAAAAAATTTAAAAAAAAATAATAGGTAAATGTTCAATACTAATTAATAATATCGAGATACTTGTACTAATTAAAAATGTCTCTAAATTTCGGGGACCTGCCATATTGAGAATGTTAATTATATTGGAAAAAGTAAAAATTAAAAAACAATATTAAAAGTATTAATTAATTAATTAAATTAAAAATTCTATTCTAAATCATTATCATAATCATCATCATACTCCAATTCAAGATCTTTTGACCCATTGATATAAGTATCTTTTTCAACTCCACGAACTTTATCATATTGATTTAATACACTCTCTTGAGCAAATTGGAATTGAGATTTTACACTATCAGTTAAAGCGTAAGCCATGGATAAAGCTCTAGATTGACCTTGTGATACGGTAGTATTTCTGAATTCACTTGCTCTAATGGTTAATCGAGAAGTGGCAGAATTTGCAACGGATATGAGTCCACCAGTACATGCAATCAATCCACCAATAACAACACGAACCACTTTCTCATACCACCAATTAATAATCGGGACACTTTGAATAAGACCTTCAAGCGTCCAATCATCCTCTTGTCTATAAATATATAATAATCCAGTTTTTACATCTTCACGAAGTCTAAGTATGGTCACTGAAGGAACCTCGAAATGAATAAATGGAAGGATTCTTGGACGTAAATGTTGAACTAAATGAATTATGGCGGTATCGCCACTAAATATTTATGAGTGAAATAAAAAGGATGTATATATGTGTAGATGTAAGGAATAATTCGTTGTTTGTTCGTTTTTATATGAGTATTAGAAAAAATAAGAGACTTACTTGAAGATTGGATATTCTTTAATTTCAGGTTCTTGAGCATTTAAAGAGGTCCATACTCTATATACTTTACGAATATTATGTGTACCCTCAACATTTAAAAGTGGATGTGTCAATTTTGCATCTTCAGTGAAATACAATTCAAGTACACGTTTATATCTTGACTCAGTATATGATAGAAGGTCACCAAGAATTTCTATTATTATTGGTGTTTTTTAATTATTAGACAAAAGACATTTAGGAAAGATAATTTTTTGAGAAATTAAAAATATTCTTTACCAGGAAAAATTTCTGCAGCTTTATTGGGATTCATTATTTATTTATTATATTATTATATATACACAAATTTAAAGAATTCTTTTGTTAAGTTTTTGAATTTGAGAGAGCTAAGGGAAAGATTTTTTTTTTAATTTAAAAAAATTTAAACCGATTTTTTCACATGGTTCGCCGATCAATGTTCTATTAAAAAAATAAAAAGTCATGTGAAAAATATCTGTCAATCAACATGTTACTTTCATTACCCCTTCCACCTTTAATGAATTAAAAAAACGTCAATAATAATAAGAATGTAATAGTAATAGTAATAGTAAATTTGTTATTATTATATTATTATGCACATGCGCCAATTGTTGTCGTAGTACAAATTTATTGTTTCAAAGTAATATATTTAAAATTTTAACAGCATCTCTTAAACTCTAAACTTAGTTTTTTTCTTCGAAGAAGATTTGCAATAACCATTTTTTATTAAAACAAAACGTTATTTTCAAATACTGAAAAAAAAACCATTAACGTGTATTACATAACAAAAATTGGCCCATATGGCCAATTCATTTGTTTGTAGAGGGATACGCAGCCTTGAGATGTTTTTTTGGATTCAACTTTTAAAATGAGTTTCAACAATTCTATGACTTTTATAAGTAAATACTTTGTAAGGCATGGTGGGAAATATCGTGTAACATAATAATTTATATTGTTTTAAAATAGAATAATTAAATGCTGGGGCAAAGAGTGTGTATTTGTGTATTCTAAGAAAAGATCATAAGTAAACTATCTGGTGTGAATATGGGAACACTACCTTCCAGAAGTTATGAATGAAGATTCTTACAAAAAATTTGTCTAGCAAAGAACAAAGAGAATTTACATGTTTTAGAATAGGATCACAATTATGTCATAAATGTTAGTGATCTTGTAGTATATGATAGGAATGAATGATAAGAATGAAGAAAATTTAGTTTAAAATTACCATTATATGAAAAAAAATTTTTTTTATTTTACATTGAACCTGAACATAATGAATTGATGGAAAATAAGAAAATACTCAACTTAGGTAAATATCGAGCTTATACAAAGTGAGTTTAGACCAAATTTTTTGAATTATTATTTTTAACACCAATAGAAATAGAAATTTTAATACATAATATGATGCACAACATAATAAATCCCAATCTATAATTTTCTAACAAAATGAATAAAATGGAGAAAGATCATATTTTGAGTGCACTAGAATATTATTTATATTTTTATATATATTACTTTTAAGAATGCCAAATACTATTTCAACATATTAATTAATATTAATATTAACACTCTAAATAATACTCCAAATCGAATAGTTTTAATCTGAACAAGTTTAATAATAGTAATAATAATAGTATATAACTAGTGTATATTACTAAATTATGTTATCTAATTTTTAATCAAATCAAAACAATGATTGATCTTTATGTTAGAAATATTATTTTTCTCTTATTGTACTTAATATGGCTAAAGCAATAAATATTATTTCATTAATTAGTATACTGATGATTTATATAATAATTTGTGTTGATCTTTTGGATGGTGATGCTTCTGATGGATTTTTGTCAGGGGGGGGAATATTTTTGTGTCTTTTGTGATATTTCAAGTAATAATCCATGACCCTGCTTTATAATGTCAAATATAAAATTAGATCAACAATCAAGTTATAAAAAGGAATCATCAAAACTTGTACCTCGAAAAAATACACTTGGTCATTGTTATCTGGAATTGTAAAATATCTACTATGTGCAAGCCACCTTTAGCATGGTGCATTGTATATATTGTTGTCTCACGCTCTAAAATATAAACAAAATATGATAAACAACTGAATCAATAACAAATAAAACACCAATGCTATGTACAGTACACAAGCACACCAAAGCTTTGAACACATAGGAGTTGTTCTTCTGTTGCATTATGTTTTAAGTGATGTCAACATTGGTAAAACATTAATATATGCATTGCTACAAAGATAAACAGATTCTGTGAGCTTTACTGTGTAAAATCTTCGAAACACATGAATACAAACCTTTGAATAATTTTTCCATATCTTCATAAGATCTACATCTAACTAGGGTTTGTATTCATGAATATCATAAGGGGGTCACACATGGTCACACACTATTAAAATCAAGTGATCAACTCATGTTTTTAAGGGATTTTTTGCTGTTTTAATAGTGTGTAACCACCTTAATGATATTCATGATATTCAAGAATAAAAACCCTATTCCTAACATTTCTAAAAATGCAATTTCCATTTCAGTTGTGTTCATATAAATCTTTAGGATACTGTCATATTTTGATCCAAGACTAACTTGAGGCTTTTGGCCTCTAGGGTTTGTATTCACATATACCATGAATACTGTTAAGGTGGTTACACACTATTAAAACAGCATAAAAACACTTGATTTTAATGATGTGTGACCATGTGTGACCTTCTTATTCGTGAATACAAACCCTATTGGCCTCTCATTTGATTTCGGTGCTGCTTGCAGAAGGTACTTTCTATCTCCACACTGAATAAACATTGTATTTGGTAAATCAAAAATTCATTATATCAGACATAAATGAAATTATACATGGCATCATAATAACTACATTTGGAACCTAATCTTATCATTCAGATCATCAAATGTTTTTGGGATTAAAGGATTGACAAATGATTCAATTGAATATGTTTGAGTAATACTAAATAATAACATGTAAAATATACATACAATCTATGACAAACATCCTGTACCCATAACATATCATAATCAGGGCTGGCAACATAAAGGGGTTAAAAACCTAATTTAGTAATAATCATCTTGACTAAACTCGACTTAAAATATGACTAAATAGTTTAGTCAGTTTAGCCAAGTGCTCATTTGAGTTATGCAGTCATAATGTCTTTTGAAATCAAATTCATTCTCAAATGGTATTTTGAAAACAACTCTTGTTGACTGTTGCCAAACATCTTCATCAAAAACCAAACTGACTTCATTTCAATGGTGGAAGCATACTTGTTTGTTAGAGGCTTGATACTCTTATCCCACTTTGACCTACATGTTGTATTAGTTGAATGATTTGTCACATTAAATGATTGGGAAGTGTATTTTCTGAAATTTTTTGGTGATCAATGTCAAAATTCTATTAATTTTAACCCTTTTTTGCTCAGCAATCACCACCAAATTTGAGACACAGTTTTTTCAGGAATTATTCCTTCTTTTAGAAAAAAACTAGGAGAGGTTATTAATAAAATAGAAAAAAATCTTGGTTTTAAAGTTTACCAACCAAATTACCGCATTTGGAAATTAATTATCTCTTTTTGGTCATTACTCTTGACAATCTCCTGCCCATATTTTTTCCTTTTTATGTATTGATAAATAAATTTATCAAAATTTAATATTGTGAGCGTGCAATCCGAGTTACCTATCACAATAGGTTGTTTACAGCTAGGACTTTTGCCTACTGACTTACGGTTGATTCCCACTTATCCTAAAACTGCAGTTAGGATAATACTTGGCCTCAGTCAAGTTACTATCTTTCCTCAGAAAGATTAATTACTTCTTTTACCCTCAGGTAAAAGGTCCCCTAGGTTCTATATAGATAATGTTATCCCAAAGGCGTCCCCTTGAGATGTTTCTCAATAATTAAAGGTAGTTGTTTGCTGGAGCAGCAAGGATCCCTTCACAGGTTATTAATTGTTTTATAGGTCAAGATTTATTTAGGGTAAAAATATGCTATGTGTTTTATTTAGCGATAATTAATATTATTACAATATTGTTAGGAAAGTATTAATTGTTAGATCAATAATTATTAGAATGTTATGAACATGATTCTGACTTGGTTTAAAACCCAGTCTTTTTATACCTCTTGGGGTATTACAAATAACATGACTTTTACTCTAATTAATCCAATAAAATATGCTTATTAATGTTAAATAAATATTCGGGTCAACTGAGCATTACAAATTATGATTAATAATTCAAAATAAATATTGACATCAGTTGACTAAGTCTTTAAAATATAAATATAGAAATATGAATAATATGAAATAGACGTAATTGTTGCTGCGTCGCTGCGCAATGTGTAGTGCAGTCATTCCGCAGAAATGTAAAAATTAAATGATGTAATAATGATCACGTGACTTCAGCAGTATTTTGGTTTGGTTGGATCGGCAACACGGGACCTCCCTATCGGTACTCGTTTTACTATCTCACACTATTATATCAAGACTTACTGATATTGGCAAATTTTTTTTTGATTACTCATCATGGATTGTGGGTGATAGTAGATATAATGGAAATAGATAAATAATCATTAGTCATTTTTTTTCTGCTAGAGATATAATGTATAATATATCAATAGTAATTTTGATTAATATGGTATGGTACTTAACAAGAGCCCAGAAGAACTTGATGATCTCCAGACATCACTTATCTATTTAGAGCAAGACTTGGATATGGATCTAGATAATGAAAATCTTAAAGTAAAGTTTGTTAATGGCCTATCATTAGAGAATGGACAAAGTCCAGAGTCCCCAACTCATATGTTCCTATTTCTTGTGAAATGGTGTTCCACACCTGGCACTAGCTCCACTATAAAATATGTATATTTCTGAATTGGCAATAATAAACCTCTGAATGAAATAATTGAATGTTTAAAAAATATTGAATTACCTCCTCCAGATAAGACTCCACGCCATTGCAGATTACACAAAAAAGGATTTCTTAGATCCATTGAATTTTTTTTTATGCAAAAGTGATCAGCATACAGAATCTCTGTTCCAAATTGGAATGCACACATGATTTTTCACCTGTTGATTCAAACATTTTATTTTTTGCTGAAGAAGCATACTTCCGCATCTAGAGTTACCCATATGCAATAAGGGCTAAAGAATGCTCTTTTAGTTCATTTTTGTGTGGTGTGGTAGGAAGACCCATCTTAGCCTTAAATTTTTGCTTATCTTCTAAGAAATAGCTTCACTACAAAATATTTAAATGTTTATATTACTTATGTGTCTAATAATGGTATTATTCAAACCAAATTTTTGCAATTAATTGGATTAAGTTGTGGGGGGGATGCTATACAATTAGCTCATTATTGATAAATTTATTTAAAAAAAGGTAAATTTTTGTTAAATTTTTATGTGTATACATAAACATCCATTTATATACATTAATAATATATTTTTTTAATTTAGACATTTTGAAAAAACTCATTTCTTTTGCTTCAGATGGAGCAGCAGTAATGATGGGCAATAAAAAAGGTGTAGCAATGCAATTAAAGCAATTGTGTCCATTCCTTGTTGTAAATCATTGTGTTGCCCATCAATTGGCATTAGCTTGCAAAGATGCAAGAAAAGAAATTATTTTTTATAATCAAGCTGAAGAAATGATGAAAAGGATTTACAAAAGTTCATCTACATGAAAAAATAGCCTCAATCTTTATCAAAAGTTACTTAATATTCCTTGTATTAACACTCTGAAGCTCCATGACATTCATTGGTTAGCTTGGTATGATGCTGTAAAAAATGTATGTGAATCCTTACCAGCACTACTCATTCTGTTTAAAGAATCTGAATCTGAATTGGTCAAAGATTATATAATGACCTTTGAAGATGGAAGATGATTGCATTTTTTTTTTTTTTATGACATACTTGGTCATTTGTCACAACTGAGTAAACATTTTCAAAAAAAAAATTTAAAGTTTAATGATATAGAGCCAGCAATTAAAACAACAATACAACTTATTAATTCAGAATATATAGATGCTCCTCAAGGATTATTTGGAAGAAATTTGAAAGCATTTATTCATCAAACAACTCCTTTTAATAATTCAATAATTAATTATAATAATCATGTGCTTGTTTATTCAGATGAAGATTATGATGACTTGTTGTCAGATATATATATGAATATTCATCCATGATAATTTATGAAATTAATGTTAGATTTCCAGATTATCCTTTGGTTACAGCAATGAAAGCATTGAATCCTTCTGAGTGGCCATCTATTGAATCTGAGGATTTTATTACATTTGGGCTATCAGAATTAAAATTTTGGTAGATGTTTTTGGAGTAAAAAATCTACCAATGTTAATGGTTATAATGAAATTTCTCCACTAATTGATCAAAATGAATGTCAGAATGAATACCCTGGTTTTAAAACAATTGTTGCAACTAATTATGTTGAAAAAAATATGCAAGGATGATTACCATTAATTATTAATGACTTTTCTGACATGTTTCCAAACATTATTAAATTAATTAAAATCATTTATAGTATTCCATTTTCAAGTGTGGATTGTGAGAGGGGTTTAGTGTACAAAACTTAATCAAGTCAAAATTGTGTAATTCTCTTAGCACAAAAACATTAGACATGCTTATGAGACTTAATATTGAAGGACCAGAAAGCAAGGACTTTGATTATGATAAAGCATTTATTATTTGGAATAAAAAATGTAAAAGAAAAGGTATAATCATTAAATAATATAATATCCTTGGATGTTTATTATATAATTTTTTTTTTAAAAAATGGTTGGTTTCACAATAAAAAAAATTTTCTATTACCGGAAATTCCTAATTTTTTGACCGGCTCTTTCAATTTTTACCGGAATTTTGAATTCTAAACCGGAAAAACCTGCAAAATTTAAGTACATTTTGCGCCCTGATCTGACGATTTGACAATGTACAATCCGTTACGCGATCAATTTTTTTTTATTTATTTTTAGAAAATAGAAATTATTTGTATTTGGTATATTATTATTTAATTTAATGAATTTAATTATCAGATCATTTGGAATAAGTTAAATATTAACAAAATATATTTATATTGAGCAAGTTATAATAATAATAATTTTATTTTTTTTATTACCAACTTGTATCCATGGCATTATGATTATTGCCACTACCACCACAACCCTTTAGAGCTTTATTCCGAAATATTCAAACTTTGCTTGATGTGCTATGCCAAAGGTCTATCATTAATAAATAAATTTCTTTATTGTTAATTATTATTTCTCCAATTCTTTGTATTCATAATTATC